CATGCAGTCTGGATAGAATTCCAGATACTTTTTTTTGAGGGGAAACTCATCCAATGACTTCTCCCGCCTTGTGTGAGGTAAGAGGGAGTGCCAGACTCTGAATAAAAAACACCCTGGTCCTACTCCTGCATTTCGAACCGGAGTCCCCGCAATCCGTTAAGTCCTCTGCGGCTTCGACAATACCAGACACTATCGTCCTATTACTGAGTTAAAAATTTAAAGAACGCTGTCTCTGATCCAGGAATCGATCTAAGAACTCCTTGATTGACGGTTAAACTTGTAAGTCAGATTAAATAGTCACTTTATATATTTTTATATACTTTTGTCTTATAAAACTATTTGTCAATAATGCTAGTCATGTAGAGATTGTCGAACACGATTGTCGAACATACCGATTATATCGATACACGGAACTATACCGAAATCCATAACCGATTATTAACCAACACTAAATTCTCTGAATAAAGGAATAATACCAACCAATAATTGTCATTAGCAAGTAACTCATAGATATTATACTATTTATCTATCGACGTTATATTGACACTCGTATGTTTGTTCGGAAAACAGAGAGCGTTGTAAATATTGTACTCAACAGACAAACAGTACGAAATTTATCGTGTTGTGTTTTTATTTGCTTTAGCTATTAGTTGTGTATATGCGTTGTATGTTGTTTGAGCGATTTGGAATTTGTTTCGAACAGGATCTTGTAATTGAGGGTGACTAAATAAATAATATCGTTTTTAAATCGCATTTTGATTTGCTTTGATGATTGATTGCAGTGACATTCTAGTTGGGGTATCGATATAATATTGTGCAAGTTGAATATTAGTTTTTTAATTATTATTCATATGAGCACAGAATATCAGATTCAGACAAGAAAATGATTGGGTAATGTTTTTAAACTCTACTTCTTATTTCTATATAGGATAACATCGTCAAATAATCGTTATATAGATACCATTTTAAATGTAGGTGTGGTTATATTTATAGTATTTTTTCTCCTTTATTATTTTCAGGGGGTTTTTGTCCATATGGATAACGTCAACCCCATCAATATTTATTGGTTTGGTTAAATATAACATAACATAACATCAATTCTTTTATCCCCGAAGGGGTAGGCAGAGTTGCACACAGAAGCAACACCCACTTTTCACGATTTATGTTATGAGTCCCATGTAATAGGGGGTGAGCCTATTGCTATATACCGGGCACAATTCCAGACTCCGTGCTACTACTGAGATTTTTTTTAAAAAGCCAGTAATACTTTGCCCGACCCGGGAATCGAAGCGATTCGAAAGGAAATCGAACGAATTTGGTTAAATAATTGAGAATAATATTGAAACTGTCAAACACCAAGCGGTCACCGGTGACCGCAACCTATTGTTCTATAATTGTGTCTATAATGACGGTACTCGACGAGTTAAATGTCATTTAGAGGTAAGTTTGAAATCGTGCATGACATTCGTTAAAGTTTTTCTATATTTTACGCAAATACAGGAACTTGCATATTTTTTAGAATTACTACGAGCACGGGGAAGTCCTTACAATAATGTGTTAATTTTTTAAACAACCATTTACCTACAAGCTATTTTAGTTAAGTTTTTGCACTAGCTTGTGTCAATAAACGATTATGTTGTTTTAATTTCGAATCGCTTGATTTAAATTAATAAACATAGTCGAAGGAAATACCTTGTTTCACTCTATTGTTATATTTCCTAACATACACTTTTTATAGTTGATATAAAGTAAACCGTAAACAAATTAGGTTGTTGATTTTTCTAGTAGGTAAAATAATTTGCAATTTAACTCGTCGAGTACCGGTTTTGTAGACACAATTATAGAACAATAGGTTGCGGTCACCGGTGACCGCTTGGTGTTTGACAGTTTAAACTTAATTACTTTGACTTCAAGATTGTTTTTTCGCTTTCTGGTATTAAATTGCAGTGTTTATTTGGTGATTTGTGTTATCTTTTTGCTTGGAAGCTTTACGTTCATAATAGGGTAGATGACTATTTTTTTTTTCGGAAAGGAATAGTTTCGAAGATATATTGATTTGAAATATCGCATGACGTCACTTTTGAGTAAGATTTATACTCTAACATGACGTAGCTACCTCCCACTCCCAAACATTGATTCGTTTTATCTATGTATTGTTTTGTTATACGAAAAATAAAAAAATGCATGTCTAATATTTTATCATTACCTAACTGACGGACTACTTAGATTCCTATTTTTAATTTTTTAGTAAGGTTTGTAACTAGTACCTATAATGTGTCAAGCGTGTCTTTGCATTGTTCTCACATATACCTACAGTATTGGAATATGTATCAGAGTTTGTACATTGTAGAAAATACTTTTTTAAAAAGAGTAACGAATGAGTTTCTTTCTCGTTCTTCTCCATTCGAATCTACATTTTGGAATGAGCACCTAGCTTCATCTAGTTTCACTGACGGACTGACTGACAGACTATTATTTATTTTGTATTTGTTGACATTTCAAAAGTACCAAATTATAGTTTAATAGGGATGATGACAACCATATATGAAAATTAAAAATTTAATTAGTCCTTCAGTTAGGTAACGAAAAAACATTAGAAACGTATGTTTTATTTGTTCTATAATAAAATGATATTTAGATAAAACGAATCAAAGTTTAGGAGTTAGGGGTAAAAACGTCATTTCTACGTATAAAATGTACATAGAAGTGACGTCACGCAACATTTCAAATCAATATATCGTCGAAAGTATTCGTTTCTGTAAAAAAATGAAAAATACGTATGTATTGTTTTAAAATAATCTACCAGACGGACATTAAAATAAAAATTACTCATCTACCCTATTGAAATAAATGCTTTGACCCTGACTTTGACTTCTAGTACCGAAATAGTTATCAAACTTATCAAAATGTATCACATTTGTACATTTGACGTGTCTAACGTATATGATAACCAGTTTTTCGAGAAATTCAGGTTAATCTAACTAAAGGAAAAATAATCTAAGACTATTTTGCAATTTACATAAATGCACTTTGAAATTCATGCATGGTTGAATATGAAACTGTTGGTAAGCGCTAAATGGTACAATTATGTTTCTATTTTTATTGACAAAAGTATTTAATTAGGTAGGTACTTAAGATATATTAAATTCTGTAGTTACATGTTTCAGGTATTTATCGTATTAAGTAAGTTCAAAAATTCTGTTTTGTATCAGAATGTATTTATTTTATTTATTTACTAGCTTTTACCCGCGGCTTCGCTCGCGTCACAAAAGGATAAAAAGCCAATGTGACTTATACCAATATGCACATCGCAATCTATACCAATACTTTTGTTTTCCCTCGGGAATATCAAATTTTTCCGGGATAAAAAGTATCCTATTATTTAATCCGGACTTCTAACTATACATCTGCAAAGAAAAGCAATCGGTTTAGTAGTTACGGTGTGAAAGCGGAACAAACAAACAAACAAACTCACTTTCCGATTTATAATATTAGTAAGGATTTTCATTGAATTATAATGCTTTCTGATTTTTGTTTTCATATTAAAATTCCTAGTAATAGTCCGATTTTTGTGTTAATTAAACCTTATAATAGTAAATAATCATGTGATTCTAGGTATGAAATACCTCATAGGTATTATAATATCCTGCTTTAAGTGGGTCAACATATTATTAGTTATTGGAAATGATTACTAAATTTTAATATTAAAATTAGGATAATCTGAACTATTCTGTTATAGCTGGGTAATATTACAGGTTTTATTACCCTTTTGTAATTTATAAAGTACCTACCTACCTATAGTTCATTTACTGATCATCAGTAATCATGATTAATAACAGAATCATCATATTTAAATAAACAAATGAATGAATACATATAATAAAATCGTAAAAACGTCAAAACTAAACATTTAATTTTTTTAATAATTCTTTTATTTAAGAGGTAAAATCATCGAATGACTTCTCCCGCCTGGGTGAGGCGGGAGGGAGAGTCAGACTCTTACTGTACTTACTTACAATAATATTTGGGGCGTAATCTATAATCGACATCAAAACCAAAAATATAGCTTTAAGAACTTTTGTCAGTTTGTCTGCATGTATGTCCGGGCTAAACTCAAAAAGTGCGGCAAGAATTTGTTTCAAATTGTGCATGAATGTTGCTAACATATTGGATCAACATATAGGCTACATAATATCACGCTATTACTTACGGGGCCTAGCTGAAGTCACTATTTTACGAGAACGAAGTCGTGGGCATAGCTATTTGAATTATAAAGAAATATATAATTTTAACCTGTCTTTGATATTGAATTAGAGATTCAGTACTCGGCAATGTTTTTTAATCCTTACTAATCCTTACTATAATATTATAAATCGGAAAGTGAGGTTGTTTGTTTGTTTGTTCCGCTTTCACGCCGTAACTACTAAACCGATTGCTTTGAATTTTTGCAGACGTAAAGTTAGAAGTCCGTATTAAATAATAGGGTACTTTTTATCCCGGAAACATTTGATATTCCCGAGGGAAAACAAAAGTATTGATATAGATGGCGTTGTATGTATTGGTATATGTCACATAGGCTACTTTTTATCCTTTTGTGACGTGAGCGAAGCCGCGGGTAAAAGCTAGTGTAAATATATATTATGGTCTGATTAAATCTGCGTCTGGTTGTAAGCGATAATTCAGCCTATGAAGAAAAACACCTTATTGGTTCTTAGAAGAGAATGTAAATAATTAATTTGGAATTGAAAGAATTTCACAAATTATTCTTCCAGGTTTGAGTCATGGTGTATGTGAGTTGTAACTATGTTTGTAAATATAACTGCGACACAAGAGAAGACTCTGGCGAGGGTCAACGTTCAAAATACTGAACTAAACCATAACTTTTCAATGGAAGTTACCCAACCATAATAGACGAGTAAAATTCCATATTTGCTGCTCTCTCTAATCTCTAAAGACACTATACTCGTCAATAGAATACATAAATAAGGTTGTATACATACCCCACATAGGTCCAAATGTTAGGCAGACGACAGTCAGAATTAGGCATATTCGAAGCCTCCTGTTATTCGGTCCTTTCTTGAATGCTATTTCTATAGTATGCTTTAGGCTTTGGAAGTCGAAGAATTCTAAAAAGAAGCCGCTGATCCCTGTCCTTTTGACCTAAAAATATTTTATTTATGTAGCAATTACTTAGTATAAATATACTATATACTACACAAAAGGAATAAAAATTGTACAGAAAAAGTCAGTGGAATTCTCTCAATCAGAGATGCCAGTCACATTCTTATATTGTGTATGATAAAAATGATAGTACTTTAATGGAATTCCTGGAATTATTTGATAATAATAGAAAAAATATATCATAATACTACGAGACCATTATCTACATTAAAACAACAATAACTACAGCTGCATAATAACAAGTACTAGATTAGTAAAGTAAATAGAAATAATACACACCTTGTCTTTGTTCTCCAGCCAAGTATGGTCGTCTATTACAAACAATACGTAACAGAAATTGATAAATTGCAGCATGGCTGATATTGAGAACACTCCGTAGTATCCGAGATACCGAAGCAAGATCCCACTTAGTCCCATCCCGATAGGAAATCCCACAGTCATACATAAGTTCAAAATACCCAATCGGAAAGTCCTTGTGTCCTTAGAAGTAATATCGCCTAAGTAACTAAAAGTACCTAGGAACATTGTGTACCAGCCTCCAGTCAGAGCTGGGAATATTACCTCCATAAGTACTGTCCACTCCACTGGGATCTCGTAAAAGAAATACGTGTTTATCATATTCAACATACACGTCATGAACTCCCCAAAGATCGGCATTAGCATGCAGATCTTACGCTTCCCTGTTTTGTCGCTCCACGCGCCTATGAAGAGCATCAACAATGTCGGTACTGCTGTGTGTACCACGCTCCTCCAAGCTAGAACTGAAGCTATTAGTTTCTGTACTTCTTCTTCTTCGTATGTGTAATTCGCTCGTTTTCTAAGTCTAAGAGCAGTGCATGCTTCGTCTCCGAACTCTAGATTGACCCTGCATGCTTTCTCCAAATTCAAATTTTGCGTCGCTAACATAGCCAGCACGCTCGGCATCACAAACAGAGCTAGAACCGGTTCTACCGTTACATTCGATTTGATGAATTTTATCTTCTCAATAAAGGTCATGTTTTGGACAGCATTCTTTGCTTCCGTTTTAAGAGGTAATTCCTCTGTCGTCTCATCGCGTGGCGTTTTATCGACAGATTTATCTGTGTTGTTCATTTTTATAGATTTTTACTCAACCTTTTTAAAATTTTAAAAATAAAATCAATACTCACTGGAGTTTGAAATATGGAACAAGGAGCACATATACCTCGTCCGAGATCCCAGTAAAGCTCCAAAGTTGGGTCACATTGTTGTTATATTGGACATCCTCACAGCACCAAGATAAATACGGTATAATATTGAATTACTGGTAAGCCGCCGACGTTGGGACGTCGCTAGCGCCCTATTGTTCGGCTGTAAGTAAACACTCTTATGTTGCCATATCAGTCTTTAATGCGTCCACAAACACACCGAGAAATCGAAAATAAACTTAACACGTTGCTGAACTCAAACAAGTCGGCGATCCTCCGTGGACTGTCACTGCTGTTATATTATAAACATCCGATTGTTTTCACTTAAAAAATGAATAAAAGCCACTATGAAACTCGACAGGATTTTATTAAACAATCACACTTATTCAACACTGTAATAATGTCCAATAACACTTTCACTAATAAAATAAATGCGTTAAGTCCGTCGGTCACTGCGGCCACTACACGTCTTTATTCACGTTCTCCATCTCCTCGACTTGTTTGTTGTCTTCCCTTTGTTCGAAATACATCCATCTGAAATGAATGAATGGACTATTATCGTTAGGAGAGGAAAATATATATAGTAGTAGAGACTAGAGTACACTCGCGACGAGTGTGAGGATCGATTGTAAAATGTTGTAATGGACAATTCGGATGGCGCGTTTAATATTGTTGTGATATCGTGTACAGTCGCGGCGAGAATGTTTTGCACTGAGGCCAGTTTGCGATTACTTTGTGTATTTCATTTCCTTGTTACGTCTAGAGGCGATGAAAAACTCTATTCGGATGGCTCGCATAAAAAATTGTTTTTATTGATGTCTTATAGAAATAGTACATAATGAATTGGTAAGTATTATACTACTTCTCTTATAATAAAGTCTAACTTCGTATGGCCTGATTATTTATTCTTGGGTATTTATTAGTTATTTGACATTTCGTTGCGACTATAAAACCAATTAATTTAGTTAAAGAGAGAAAGTATAATATGACAAATATGATACCTACAGGTAAATGTTAAAAGATACTTTTATTTAAATTTAACTGAAATGTATATTTTGTGTTACTAGATATAGGTAACTAGATAGTATTATTGACATTGAGAAATAAAAAATCGAGATAATTTTGAATATCTCAAAGTTCATCATCATCAACAGCCTGTTTTCGTCCACTGCTGGACATAAGCCTCTCCAATGGCACGCCACTGAGCTCGGTCTTCAGCTCTACGCATCCAACCACTACCAGCCACTTTACGTATATCGTCACTCCACCTAGCTGGAGGGCGCCCTACACTACGTTTGCCTAGACGCGGTCTCCACTCTAGAACACGTCTACCCCAGCGGTCATCGGTTCTTCGACAAATGTGACCGGCCCACTGCCATTTCAGCTTGCTAATCTTTTGGGCTACATCGGTAACTTTAGTTCTCTGTCGGATCACCTCGTTACGGATCCTATCCTTAAGAGATACTCCGAGCATAGCCCTCTCCATAGCTCGCTGCGCTACCTTAAATTGGTGGACCAGTCGCACTGTTAGTGTCCACGTCTCGGCTCCGTATGTCATGACTGGTAGGACGCACTCGTTGAAGACTTTCGTCTTCAGGCTTTGCGGTAGAGTTGACGAAAAGACCCGATAGAGTTTCCTATATGCCGCCCAGCCAAGCTGTATCCTTCTACGAGCCTCCCTCTCGAAGTTGTTTCTACCAAACTGTAGGGTTTGTCCTAGGTAGACATACTCCTGAACAACCTCTAGAGTAGACCCATTCAGGGTGATCGGCTCCGGAAGAACATGTTCATTGAACATGACCTTCGTTTTGTCTAGGTTCATCCGGAGTCCAATGCGAGCAGAAGAATCAGCCAGGCTGTTCAGCATATATTGTAGGTCTTGCACGGTTTCAGCCACGATGACGATGTCATCTGCAAATCTCAAGTGTGAGAGATACTTGCCGTTTATATTTATGCCCCGTCCGTTCCAGTGCAGCGTCTTGAACATATCCTCCAAAGCATTGGTAAATAATTTGGGAGAAATGACATCGCCTTGTCTTACCCCCCGATGCAGGTGGACAGGTTCAGACTGCTGGTTCTGTACTTGGACGACCATAGTTGCAGCATCGTATAGATCTCTCAGCACTTGGACATATCGCCAATCGACTTGGCACCGTTGCAAGGACTCCAGAACAGACCAGGTTTCAATAGAGTCAAAGGCTTTCTCGTAATCCACAAAGGCTAGGCATAGGGGCAGATTATACTCTTCAGTCTTCTGTATAATCTGCCTCATTGTATGTATGTGGTCTATGGTGCCGTATCCTCCTCGGAACCCAGCCTGCTCAGGGGGCTGAAACTCGTCGAGTCTTCGGGCGAGACGGTTAGTGATGACTCTGGAAAACAGCTTGTAGACATGGCTCAGAAGGGAAATAGGTCGATAGTTCTTCAAGAGGGTTTTGTCTCCTTTCTTAAAGAACATAACGACAACACTCCTGCTCCATGCCCTTGGAGTTCTCCCCGAGAAGAGAACGGAATCAAACATACGTCGGAGTCGCTCGAGCACCGGTTTTCCACTTGCCTTAAGGAGCTCCGTCGTGATTCCATCTTCTCCGGGGGCTTTTCCATTTTTAAGTTGCCCCAAAGCCACCGCGATCTCACCTAGGCTGATTTCTGGCAAGTCTTCGGTGAAGTGGCGGACAAGTGTGGCTCTGGGATCCCCCGAATCTGAATGAGGACGAGGTGCTTTTGACGCGTACAACTCACCGTAGAAGTGCCGAACCTCCGCGAGAATCTCCGGCCTAGAAGATACGACTTTCCCACTTGATGTGGTCAGCTTCGTCAGATGACTTCGACCCAATTGCTGGATGAAGACTTTAGACCCCCGATTTTGCTCGATTGCTTCTTTTATTGCGCGTGTATTGGCGCATCGGAGGTCGCGTTTCACCAGTTTTGAAATCTTTTTGTTAAGATCTGACGAAGCGACTGTTTGGTTTTCCCGTCGTCTCTCCATTAGCTGCAGAGACTCTCCCGAAAGCTTGGCCCTCCGTCCGGTATTCTGCGTCCGGCACAATTTTGTTCCTTCATCCCGGAGGATCCCGACCATTTCCTCAAGTTTCTGGTCAATATCAACGTCATTTGTGGTTTCCAAAGCAGCAAACCGGTTCTCCAGCTTTAATTGGAATGCTTCAGATCCAGCTACGGTTTGGAGCAAGTTCGGCCGCAGCGTAGACCTCATGAGACGGACACGCTCGAGTTTGTATTTGATATTTAGAGTGCCTCGTACCAGTCGGTGATCACTTCCGGTATTAAACCTTGTGATTACTGAGACATCTCTGAATATTCGTCTCTTGTCCGTCATAATGAAGTCTATCTCATTTTTCGTCATAGCATCGGGGCTTCGCCACGTCCACTTCCTTTGAGGCTGCTTCTTAAAGAAGGAGTTCATCAAGAACAGTCCCTCCTTCTCTAGGAAGTTGACAAGCATTTGCCCCCTATGGTTCCTGCTTCCAAATCCGTGTGGTCCTACTACCGATTCGCCGCTATTATGTACTCCCACTTTGGCATTGAAGTCTCCCATGACAACGTTGAAGTGGGCCTTTTGGGTGGTGTGCAAGGCTCTGGTAATGTCTTCATACATTTCCTCTACCTCATCATCCGAGTATGTCGAGGTAGGCGCGTATACTTGGACGACCTTTAGGCTATACCTCTTGGTGAGTTTGATCACAACGTACGCTACCCTTGCCGACACACTGGAGACCTCTACAACGCTGTCTGCGAGAGACCTGTGGACCAAAAACCCGACGCCACCCTGTGATGGTTGGTCTCCCTCTCTGAAATACAAGAGATGGCCGGATTCCAAGGTTACGGTATCCTCCCCCTGTCTTCGGACCTCACATAACCCCAGAACATGCCACCTCACATTTCCCAGCTCCACCTCGAGCTGCGCCAAATGTTCATCGAGCCGTAGCGTGCGTCCGTTGTACGTAGCCAGGGTCAGTTGGTGTTGTCGGCCTTTCGTAGCCCGGGGATTCTTAGCACCCCTTGTCCCGCCGTTACCACGACCGCCGACTTGGCCGGGAATAGCGGGGCGACCGGGAACTAGGGGCCGTTTTTTTATTGGGTGCGCCATTAAAGGTAATGCCCATAATCACCACGCTGGGCAGGCGGGTTGGTGATCGCAGGGCGTAGTTTCTCGCACTAGGGACGCTGCTCCCCGCCACTAGTCTATTTAATTTGTCTACGCCTATATAGCATGGTTATACCGCCATGTGTCGGTCGCCAGAGCCTCGTCCGTTAATCGGCAGGATGTACCACGAGCAGGTGAGGTTGGCTGGGGGTACTTAGATGGTGTTGTCCTCCCTTACATCCCATCTCAAAGTTAGAACTCTGTTATACATATAAAATATATCTCTACCTTTTCAAACGCAATGCACTTCAAACACTAGACATATTAAAATATCAAAACAATATGTCTAAGGAATTTAAAGGCTACACAAGTTTCTTGTTTTATTACTTAAATAGACAAGTACGATGCTAGGCTTTCTCTATTCTGATAGTAATTTTGGTAAACTTTGGCCCTAACTTCGGCATAATTAGTTCTGTAATGGCCACAGATGTCTATAAATAGAGCAAGGGTACAGTTTAATGTCGATACTCTCTTGTACTGGACTTTATAGAGGTTTTGTACTGCGTAAGTTCTCGTAAAATTTGTTGTTCATAAAATTATCCCATAGCATAGACGATAGTATATACACTGTCGTGTCAAGGAGGTTTGAATGACGAATATTGTGAAATTATTCAATATATTATTGAAAACTTATCCTTTCTAAACGTTGTGATGTAAAATACATCTTTTTCCTTATACTTTATGTTGAGAAATTTGCTACATGCCGTGCTGGGCCTCTTAAAATCGAAGGTATATACATTTATTTACTGTGATGAAGACATTTTGAGAGATGGCGTTTCATAAAATTCTACAATGATATGAAATTAATTAATAATGCATTACGTAAAGGTCTAATATATAAATTTAAATTTAATATATAAATTTTAAAAATATTAATTCCAAATTAAAACTGCACACACAATCCGACATTAAAATTCACCATAGTAGAGGTATAAAATAACAAATGACTTGTAACTGCTCGTCGAACGAGACTATTTGAAAAATAAAAATGTCTATTTATAAATCAAATAGTGTTTGACGTTCGTACGAAGTTATGCTTGCGTGACGGTACCAGTCTCCAACTGATCTGTTTACTGTGAAATCCTAAACTGTTTTGACTAAAAAAACCAGTCACTAAGACGTCACTGATCAGTAGGCACTGATTAAAAATCAGTTGGATTTTGAGATCGACAAAAAATACTTGGAATGCACTAGCATTCGTAATATTTAAAATCACACTAATATTATAAACTACATAGGTGTTGCCCGCGACTTCGTCCGCATAGAAAATTG